ATATATATATATATATATATATATATGAGAGTCATGGGTATTTGATGATAGCATTAAAGTTATTTCAAAGAGCATTATTCATTCCTCTCAGTGCTGCATGTTTTTAGTTATTTTTCTCATATGTTCTAAATGTTTATATCTAGATTTTTTAGCTTTCCAGTGACCCTGGCATTTAAAGAAGTGAACTTAAAAGTCCAGATATATCTTCGCCTAAAGCATCTAAAGGTCTTAAACAGGGGGTCCGCACCCCCTAGGGGGTCCACAGAGGTACTGCATCTGGGTCACAAAGTTTTGGTTGATTAGACTTTTTTTTTTTATATTCCCTCCTGAATTGAAATGTCTTTAAATCCACATTAACATGAATCCAACAGACTGTAGTAAACAGATAAATGGAGGCAGATGATGTCTTTCAGTCATCAATGCTCACATTCAGCGACACACAGGAGCTCTTTCAAGCTGGGCACCGTTTCATTCACAACACCTGTCCCATCAACCAGGAATCAGAAATACTTTAATAATCCCAGGGAGGGATTACTTTAGTTACATTACTCCATCTGTAATAGAGCGACTATAGGACCAGTTTGATAGAACACTATTTATATAATTAGGGGGTCCCCGCTCCATCTCGCCATCAGTTTGGGGTCCTTGGCCTGGAAAACGATGAAGACTCCTGATCTCTGAAGAGGCTGAAAATGTCTCCCTTTTCCTCCATCTTTGTCTGAAATGCCTGCTGGTCTGTGATGAAGCACAGACTGCTCTTCATTTCAGCTCCATCATGTTTTCAAACATTTATTTTATCTCATTTCTCACTGCATCCCACCCTAACCTGTTTCTAATCCACTGGTTCATTAGCTTCGTCTCCCCATCACAGCCACCTTACGATTGCCTCAGTTTCAGTTTAAAAAACTCTTAGCAATGTTTTTATTATTAACTATTTATTTGAACTCTTTTCTTTAAGGCCAAAGAGCGGAACCGACTGGAAGCACTTAAAAAGAAGCAGGAACAGGAGGAAGAAAGGATGAAGAAAATGGAGGAAGAGAAGAAAAGAAAATTGGAAGAACTGAAAAGGTATTCATTGCTTTGAATAAAAGTTTGGTTTTTCCATTTGGACCATTTGAATTTCTATTTTAAATGTCTTTACAGGAAGAGGGAAGAGAGGATGAGGAGAGTGGTGGAGGCCAAAGTAAAGGAAGAGCAGAAGGAGGAGGAAAAGAAAAAGAAGATTGAGCAGAAAATGGTTAAAATTGAGGAGAAAAACGATAAAGTATGTGAAAGACTTGGAAGCTCCTGGTGTTTTATGTTCATTTGAATGATGAGGAACTGTTTTGTGTGCGAAGCGCCAGGCTGAGGAGAAGGCTAAGAAGAGGATGGTAGGGAAGCGCCAAGAAGAGCTGGAGCAGAAGAAGAAGTTAGAGGAAGAAGCTAAAAAGAAAAAGATTCAGCAGGTAAAGATTTTCTTTTTAATCTTTTATCCTGGTATCTAGATTTAGATGCTCTAGATAGAAGTTTTATTTAAAAAGAGCCTGAATAATCTTTCCAGTTACTATCTATGTTTTTCTCTCTGAACTGAAACTTTTATTTAAAATATTTCAATGTTTCCTACGATGGTTTCATGTCCGTTCAGGAGGAAGAAAAACGGCAGCAGGAACTTGCAGCCAAAAAGAAAGCAGAGGAGGAGGAGCTGCAAGCTCGCAAAGCCCTGGAGCGAGAGAGGGAGAGGGAGAGGGAGCGCGAGCGAGAGAGGGAGCGCGAAAAGGAGCGAGAGAGGGAGCGCGAGAGGGAAAGGGAGCGAGAACGGCAGGCAGCAGCTGCAGCCGCCGCTGCTGCTGCTGAAAGGTGAGTTTAGATTAAAATTCTTACAGTAAACACAATTATCCATGTTGGTTAAAAAAAAAAAAAAAAGATGCGAGTTAGGGTTTTTTTAGGGTTGGAGTCTCATAAAGTTGGATGGAGTCGTTCTCTGGTTTTTCTTCCTTTAAGCCGGGCGTCCACTGCACCATATTTTCAATCGTTGCACGAAGCGAATGAATTTCAAACATGTTTGAGGTGGTGGAGATTCTCAGTCATCCAGGTCAGAGTCGTTCCAAAAAAAATAAAAAAAAAAAAAAAAA